CGCAACAACACCACCTGTGGCTAGGGGAAATAGAAGATGTTTGAAAGCAACTGGGACGATAGGCAGTATGATGCTATCCCTATATGGTAGTCGAGGACATTGAGTAGGAAGAGTTGTTAGAGGATGATGTCAGTCTAATGCTTACTCCATTGATTAATAATAATATATGCTAGTGTTTGAATATGAATCCTTTGTGGAGAATGGAGAAAATAATCAAAGGAAGTAGTAAAGCAACGAAAAAAGAATTGTGTTTTTCATGAAAAAGCACCAAAAAATAGATCAGAAATTCAAACTCAACGATCCAAAAATTGACTTGGGCAATCGTCCAAGCCAAAATTTCAACATCTTCATTTTTTTTCTTGTTTTGCTTTCGGTGTTTTCGTACTTGCTCGATACATGCACCCATATAGATGTATTATCATTTCAATACACTTATAATATAAGTTGAACAATAAATTACAACTTCTAATTTACCTGAACGGTTGGAGGAAAGATTAGCTGGTTCATTATGGATTCGAAAAGCCATCATAGTATAGTCAACGATGAGCAAATGATGACTTGCCATCCCGTTCGGTACAAAATTTGCATGACTAAATTTGAGATTGAGATGAGTTAAAATATAGTAAAATATTTAACTATATTGAATTTATCTGGTTATTGAGAAATAAGTTGGAGAGAAGATATTCTATATATTGCTCAAACGGGGTTGGAATCCTCGAGATTTTTTTTTTTTTTCTCATATACTCATCTTGAATTTGCCATGAAATTATGAAATATGTTTAAATATTTCCTCCAATCTCATGCCCAACAATGTCATACTAAAAACAAATTCTTTTAAATACTTTTTATCATTTCAACAAAGACAGTTAGTTACCTTTTAACGTAATATTGCAAGCAAGATATGTATATTCTTTTTCCAAACCGTTTTTCAATTTTCATGAAAAATATATATGTGAAAATCGAATTCAAATAATTTCAGAATAAGTTTGCAACTTTCACAAATCAAAATTACTAGAGACTTAATTGTGAACTCATAGTTCTATAAGTAAAATCTTTTAAAAGTATCTTATTCAGTCGTGAATTGCTTTAAAAATTTGTCACGTAGCATAAATAGACATCGTTTTAAAAAAATAAATCTTTAATACAAGTTGTAAGGAACACCGCTAAATGCTTCACTTTTCGTATCCTCAAACACCAATGTCCCACCGGGCGTGCCAAATTGTTTCGCGTGGATTATCGCAACAATTAAAAGAAATGTTTAGACGATTGTATAAGGAACAAACCTCTTGAGACAAAGTCCCAAAGGGGGTGCTTTATTTATGAAGATTATAATTGGAAAGAAGCAAAATGTCTCCAAGGAGCACAAGCACATGAAGTAAATTGAAAGTTNTCTCCAATGGGCACAAGCACATGAAGTAAATTGAAAGTTTGCAAATAGAAAGTAAATGAATTGAAATTACATATTCTCTATTTAGAATGTTTGATTTTGTGTCTTTCCTTCTATGTCTTCTTTTCATTTTTATACTTGTTTGCCGATTTTCTATTGTAGAACTGCTTGGAAACTGTTTGACGCTCTATAACTACCCACTTTCTTCGTGATGGTTGACTTGTCAAGGAACTGCCGTTAGCAACTGTTGCTATTGCTCTTGTTGTTTAACCACTTGTAACTGAAATTCTTGGATCGTAGGGTGTGATAAGGTTACTCAATAATCACTTCAATAACTGAACAAAATGCTATATTCATCCAGACATTGGGCGTCTCGAAGGCTTGGGAGAGAGTGAGACAGTCGTTCTGAGCGACAACGGGGTATTTCATTTGCTCAGATCCTGGGTATTCTGCAGTTTTGGGCGATGAAAGTCCTCTACTTGTGGACTGTCATTATATTTTACAAT